GATTTGGTTATCTAATGGCTATTTATACATTTGTGTTTTTTTTTGAATTTTACTGATTATAATGGTTAATGCAACTCTATTTCAGTTAATACGTAATTTTTATTTTTACTTCTTCCTAAAAAAAATTATAATAAATTATTCAGTTTGTTATAAAATATATTTACAAACAAAGAGGATGAATTGAAATAAATACAATTTATATATTGAAAAACTAAAATAAATTGTGGTTCAATTGAAAAAACAGAAACAATCCATATACCAAAAAATAGTTGAACCGGTATAAATTTTTATATTGAAATCAGATATTTAATTAAGATAACATCATAACTTAATTTAACATAATCTTCTATTTACTTTTTCATACATATTAACAAATATATAAACAATCAAATCAAATAATTATGATTTAGTTATTATATATATATATTCATATATGTGCATAAGTTTTGAAAATATTAAACTTTTTTTCTGGTGTAAGAAATATTAAAATTTATGTTTAATAATTTTAATATGATTTAAGATTTTTGTTACCTATTGTCAAAATAACATTTATTGAACGGGAATTTTTACAAAATATATGACAAATACAAGAGGATGAGTTGAACTACCTGAAGTTAAAAATATATATTTTTAACTTAACTAAAAAAAAAAAAAAAAACTGGTTCTCAATTTGAAATTAGATGCAACTCAAGATATCAACGAAGCCTGGCTATTTGCTACAGCTTTAGTGTTGCTGAGGACAAGCTCTGTTTGTTCCTCACCAAGCTCCACAAACATGATTTATGATGCATTCAATTTAATCGTGTACATCTTATCATACGATTTATTCTCCTTATGTAAAATGTAAAATATATGTACGAAAGTATATATGTATATATAGGTATTTTAAAAATCATATAGGGATCTTTTATTTTTTTTTAAGAATCCTTAATTAAGTGTGAGACCATATAGAATATATAATCATGGTTTTCAAATAATTGTCCTATTTAATGAGAAATGATATATTCAATAAAAGTATTGATTTAATCTACTAATTTTTTTTTTTTTTTAAAATCATTATTATATATGTGTTTTAGAAAAAATTATTATTATATATGTGTTTTAGCGGATACAAATTTTTGAACCAAAAGTGTTTCAGTTTCTCTTTTTTTTTGACCATATAGATATATTTTCATCTTTTAAATAATAGTTTTTGTTTCATTAATATATTTAAAACATACCATGCATGCTCAGATTAGTTATCTAGTAAAAAATACATTAGATGATATATATTAAGTGTGTTTGGTTCTAAGTGGTTCCTCTGCAAATCTTCCTACTAATGATGCCCACAAAATTAGTTTGGCACATAGTTAATGTTTCATCAGTTGGCCTAATTAATCACATAACTTACTTGAAACCACATAATATATCCTAAAAGTTGGTTTCGTTAAACAGATTATGATGTCCATCCACCAATTGGATTAAAGTTCAGAAGGAAAAGATTATATATCAAAATTCTACGTGGCCACGTGTCAAAGTCATGCCTGTAATTCATCTCGACTTGCTAAGCAAGACAAGATTTGTAGCCTACGGAGAGTTAAGGCTAGCCCGTACAAAGTGCATAATTAACTTGTCAAAATGCGACAATGGTTTCATTTCAAAGTTGGTACTTTACATTGCGTATATTGGCCTTACAAATAAAATCGTCAAGAATAATTCTTTCACACTCTAGATTTTCGAAAATGACTAGTATACTCAAAGTGGAGAATTTCATTGGTTTATAAGAACGGTAATTCTTTTCTGTATATATCCCCATAATCAGAACTTCAATATGATCGATGTATAATACTTTATCTAGAGTTTATGTTATTTGATATGAACAGTATTTTTTTTTTGATCAAACCATTCATTCATTCAAAGGAAAAGAGTCTAAAACAGAGTTATCTTACTTCGGGGAAATGCTGCAGCTCATACAATGCTGATTTAGCTAAGGAATCAGCCACCACATTCCCAAGACGGGGAACAAAGTTAAAAATAACAGAAGCAAAAGAGTATGCTAATAAAGTAATGTCATGGAGAATGCAAAAGACAGAAGTATCTCGCTCCTTCCTTTTTATCAGAGAGATGAGATTCTTGCAGTCAGAAAACACTGCGATGCCGAGAGAAGTTACCATTGAAAGGGCAGCTTTTACCGCCAAAGCCTACTACTAGAGCTGAGGTTACAAAACGACGGTTAAAAGAGTAGGAGAAAGACTTGGTAAGTTGCGCATCCTGGAGGTGCCACCCCAAACCACAGCCTTCAGAATCACGGTCCCAAGCAGCATCAGTGTGCACGGTCCATTGATCAGAAGCTGCAACAGGAATATGAACAGTATACGACTCACTCTTTCAAGATTTCTCCTACTTACGGATAATCTTTATTTAATGTTTTCTTTACCATGAGAGTTTACTATTTGAACCATTAACTGTGGCGGTAACTATAAAATCATTCTCTTAATAGTTGTAGGAGAATGTTCGAATAATGCCATTCTTCTTTAGTTCTTTTGTAGGGGATCTGAGTTTTGAAAATGACTTTTATCTTATAGTAGTACCTTATTATTCAAAGACACTTTCTTGCAAATGATATTATAACAAGAAATTTTACAGATGCATTGATTCTTCAGAATAATTAAAGAGGTTGAGATTCGCAAAGGAATACACGTTAGCTTTCATGATATACATTACAAAAGTAGAATAATGATTAGGAGTTAAAATTAGTGTCATCTGTAACAATCATTATTAGAAACTTCTGGGAAAAGAAAATTCTCAATATAAATTAAATAGAAGTGATTAATATGGGAGCCATATTTTCTGGTTGTGTGGACGTGTCTTACTGCTAGCCCATATGGTTGGCCTGAATTAACTTAAAGTTGCAATACACATTTTTGTTTCTATACATTAGTATGTATATAGCTTTATTTGTAACGTATTGATTATAGTGCTGCCCAAGGATTACATTTCGGGGCCGGGATGCTTGTTTCACGAGAAGTAGGGGTCGTTTTAGTGTACAAGCTTTTAAATTTAATTTTCATAATTCAAAAAAAAATAAAAAAAATTTCATCAACGTAATACAATTACTTTGGGCGTGGGTAATAGTTTTAGGGTTATTTTGAGATTAGCCCAGACTTAACTAATGTAATTATTTCTAGGAATAATTCATACTAACTAACTAGAGATAAGAAATAGGTTGTATAACGGTCCTACTTCTACTTGAGTAAAATGTACACATAATGGAGAGCTAAGAAGGTGAATTAATACCTAAAACTCACTTCTTATCAAAATAATTTTGGATAGCTTTGAACTATTATTACACCAGCAGAGTACTGATTGATTAGTTTTAGTTGATATACATATGTCATTATTGCAGAACGACATAAGAATGATTGAGGGTTAACTTCAAAAATAATAGTTAACGTTAATACTTCCCTATAGTATTTTAAAATGCATCTCATGTCATGCGTAATTGTTGGATACATGAATTTGGATTTTTATGGGAAAGGGAGGAGAGGGAAAGTACAAAACGTAAGTGAGAAATATACATACAGATCCGGTATATAATTGCAACTTGGTTGAAGTTGGAGAAAAAGTTTGAAAAATATAAATTGTAAAGAATACAAAGTTACACAACTTAGCTTATTAAAATTTAAATAAACAGGTTACACGCAGGGAAGTCAAATGTCAACCTTTAAAGCTCTAGTGCTGAAGTAAGTGCTAGCGAGGTACACTAATTAACACTTAAAACATTAGTTAATTCCTAACACGATTCTTTAACTAATGTTCAGTTTGCGGCATTCTTTAACTTTGTTCATTAGGATAACGCGTTTGGTGAAAGAAAAGAAACGAGTAAGCGAGTCAAATTAGATATTTTGTTTGTTAGTATTATTTTTTTTGTTTGTTGTTACTAAAGTTATTAACATATTACCTTTTTTTTTATTAAAATGAACGACTTCCATTATGATCTTAGTTAAGAGCTCAGTGTCCAAATCTAAACGATCAATATCATAATTTTTCTAACAACTACGATCAGTATCATAATTAAAAGCTACATTTTCGAGTATCCCTGCTTGGAGTTGGCAGCATCTTTGTTGGAGGTTTAACACATATGCCTGTAATAAGGCTTATTTTGTTCCCTTTTTCTTTTATCTTTCTTTGAGTGTTTTTCTTCACGAACTAGAAAAATATATAATTTAACAAACAATAATTATCAAATATACATCGAATTAAAATATATATATATATATATATATATATATATATATATACATCGAATTTTTTCAGGTATTCATCTCAACATTAGCTTGTAATCAATAGACTAATTTATATCTTTATATAATGTTTTAGAATATTTTGATTTCTGATATAATATTTCTAATACGTTTTGCCGTAGTAATTTCTTGTTTCATTTTGAATTGAATTTTATTCTAAAATCCGCAACATTCTCCACTTGAATCATTTTAGCTTATGATATCACACACGTATGAGTTTCCAATTTATTTATAAAGTAAATGTTTTTCAAAAAAAAAACTAAACAGAACATATATGTTAATTAATGTCTCAATTATTTTTGTAAGTCTCTTCTTTGTTTCCGAATCTACAAAATGTCGAGCAAATCAAAAGATGTAACAACGCGGTTCAAGATGACGAACACTTTCGGACGAGCTTGGTTCAGTGTAATCTTGGGAACCAAGGTTGACCAACAAATTGAGTATTGAACTGTGAAAATATTTTTGTTTGTATAAGTATTGATTTTTTTTTTGTAAATATACGTGTATATTTATAAAGATAGTTATAATTGTGATTATATTATGAGACTCTGGTTATATAATACAGGATATGTGTTACTGAAAATAAAAGGTTCTTATATTGCGGCTGTTTATGCCTTTTCCTCACATGTTACAAATAAATTTAGAAAAGTAAACTTTTTTATAATATCATATTTCTGTTCATCTATAAAAACCATCAACTTATCCATCTTTCCCTCTGCACAACAACATCCATTCTCTCTCTACACAACTCCAACAAAAAGTGTATTTTCTCTGAAACTCTCTTTGTGGATCTCTCTGATTCAATATGGATGACAAAAGAAGCTTAATGATCAACAAGAACATTGGGGATTTCGAGAGCAACGTGGAAGAAGAAATGGACCTAAGGAGAGGTCCATGGACCGTTGAGGAAGATTTCAAGCTCATCAATTACATTTCTACTCATGGTGAAGGCCGATGGAACTCTCTCTCTAGTTGCGCCGGTATGATACACTATCTACTTACACGTCTCAACACTCAGATTAATATATGTAATCGTGTGTAATGAATATGTGCTACTTGATTAAAAAGGGCCAGATAATCAAAAGATACAAAAGTTTATGAAATTAGTGACACCTTTTGTTTATCTCTTGTCATGTTTCGATTTCCATAAATGTTTTGTTTTTGAATCAGTTCGCTACTTCATTTTTTCTGTGTTGATGAGATTTACTTATTTGAAGTTTCAAGAAAATGGGGGTTTGCATGTTATGCACATGTGATAAACCAAAAACTTTAAAGCTTTCATGTTTATTTTTTCTCACTAATTTTCTTATTTATGAATTGCTACAAGTAATTTAATTCCAACCATTATATATATATATATATATATTTGATTCTAATGTTTTTTTTCTATATAGATTCAATTATTATACTTTCGAATCTCAGTATGGATTCAATAATTTAACTTCTAGATTTTGAGTAAAGTAGCTATATATTCGCAAACGAAAAAAATGCTAATAAATGATCAACATGTATATGGGAAGAGCACTAACGCAATGAAAGAAAGTTTGCTGGAGAAAAAGACCCTTTTAGACAATTTGCCTCATAGCAACGGTCCATATAATTTGTAGATTAATTTTTATTACTTTACAAATTATGATGAGTTTATTGCGTATGAAACCATCATACAATATACGTTTACATGATGAATTCAAAACAGTAGTCTCTTCCGATTTGCAACAGGACTCAAACGGACCGGAAAAAGCTGCAGACTACGGTGGCTAAACTATCTCCGGCCCGACGTCCGCCGTGGAAATATAACTCTTGAAGAACAACTCTTAATTCTTGAACTCCATTCCCGTTGGGGCAATAGGTAAAAATTGTAAAATTTAAACAAGTCATCATAGTAATTAATTGTATATATTTACAAGAATTTGATCGCAGAGATTAGATATTATCATGGATCATATCTTTAGTCATCAAAAAATTTTATTTTCTGTTTACAAGAATTTGAAGATTCATTATTTTCTAGTAGCAAATTTTTTGTAACAACTTTAGACATTAATACAATATGTTATCCTGTGATTTCAGATGGTCCAAGATTGCACAATATTTACCAGGAAGAACAGATAACGAGATTAAAAACTATTGGAGAACACGTGTGCAAAAGCATGCAAAACAGCTTAGATGCGACGTGAACAGTCAACAGTTTAAAGACACCATGAGGTATCTTTGGATGCCTCGTCTCGTAGAGCGGATCCAAGCCGCCTCCGCTTCAACCTCCACCGGTTCTGCCACCACTTCATCTTGCGTCACCACCCCTTCAGATCAGTTCATGATGACGTCATACGATGAGGGACTCAATAACAATAACAGTACCAACATGGACCATTTGGGTTTCATGAGCAGCCCTAGTGGTCATGTCACGCCGGAAACTTCCAGCGTGGTTGTATCTCCTACGTCCGGTTTAACGGAGTATCACATGGGTAGTGAAGTGGGAAAGGTTGAGAATAGTTATTACAATCAGGATGAGAGTTTGGTGGGTCCACAAATCATGTTGCAGCCGCAGAATTATTTGGATGATAACGGTGGATTATTAAACGAAGATTTAACGCAGAGTTATCATAATTGGTTTGAAAATGTTAATGGAGTGTTACCTTCTTATTCGGACAGTTTTTGGAACATAGGGAGTGATGAAGACTTTTGGCTCTTACATCAACAACAACAGCAGCAGCTCGTCAACGATGGAAGCTTCTGAATAGACAAGTAAACAAGAAAAAATAAGTAGTGGATTAATTAATGTGTGAAAGGGATTTGTATTTGAAAAGGAGGGTTTTTAAAAAAAAAAATATTAGCATATTTAGATATATTGGGGGAAATTAGGAGTTTGTTATTTTGGAGTCGATTTGATTGGTTTGTGTTCCTTTGGGATTTGATACTATATTTATGCCATTATTTACAAAACAATTTGGAATCAAATTAGTAACTGAATGTCTTTTTATTTTTGATCGTTTATGAAACTATTTGAAAGATGTTTTGCCACCGAAAGTATTTGATGATTCCCTTCACGGAAGCATGCTATTATATAAACACAAATCATTTCATTATTTATGTTTTTGACAAAGAAACCATAATTGGTTGGTTCCACCATGTTTCATACTATACTTGGTTAACTCAGTATATGTCACACAAGCAAACAAAAAAGTATGTATACTATAATGACATTGGCATGATAAATGAGAAAAATGGATAATCCAAATATCCAATTCATGATGCTTTTAGGAAACATGTCTATGGGACCTGTATATGGGAAAAAAGGGAACCGAAGTGTGTGAAAGGCTTTGGGTTCAAAAGTAGACAATCTAAACTATTCTCCACATGGCAAAGTCTCAATGGTTAATGTATGAGTTTAAAGGTGGCCATTAAGGGGGATTATTTTTTATTCTTGAGAGAATGTGATAATCATCAACTTAGCTATGTAATAAAATATAGAGAAATACATGGTTAGTGATGATAATTCCACCATTAAGGCGTGCAAATCTTAATTTTATATTCAACCCCATTATATTATTGTACGGATGATCCCACCACCACTATCCAGAAAATACCTTCCTCACACTGTAACACGTCATCTAACCTACGTCGTCTTCCTATCTACAGTTCTTTTCTAAGGTATAGTATATATCTAAATATATATATAACTATCAGTAGTTATCTACTTCTAAAACTCTAAAAAATTACATCATCATTCGTAATCATGTGATTGTTCTTAATATATGATAAATAAACCATCCAGTAGTAGGGAGACCGATCAAGTTTGTTCTTTTTTGTTACTACAGTAGAACCTCTATAAATTAATACTCGATAAATTAATATACACTAAATATTTTTCTATTAATATAATTTTATAGTCCCAAAATGAGTTTTTGGTTCAATTAGTATATCTATAAATTAATATCTCTCTAAATTAATAAAAAAATAAAATTTTAGTTTAGTCACAACATTATTAATTTATAGAGGTTTCACTGTAGCTAATAAATTTGATTTCCTTTTTGTTGATCTTTCTAGGTCTTTAGATTATAAAAAGTTAATCAAAGTAATTGCCCCGTGTAAATCAAACTAAGGGATGCTAATCACGCTATCATGGTAAGCTTGACTATCTTTTTCAGTTTTTTTTTTTTAAATTATACCCTCATGTCTAACTCAACGTAATCTAAACTATGGTGTTGGGAACTTAGGATAGTAGTTAGCCTATGTTTAGTGGGATTGATGCATAACATCGACAAATAGGATTATTATAGTTTTGATGAATGTGGACAAGGGATATATGTGCTAGAACACTTATTTTCGGATTCCAATTTTAATTATAAACTTTTTTGAATTAAATTTGGGTTTGAGTTTTGATTAAACAGCTTAATTGATGATCCAATTTAATCTAAACTATGGTGTTGAGAACTTAGGATAGTAGTTAGCCTATGTTTAGTGGGATTTTGATGCATAACATCGACAAATTGGATTATTATAGTTTTGATGACTGTGGACAAGGGATACATGTGCTACAACACTTACTTCCAGGTTTCAATTTTAATTATAATCTTTTTTGAATTAAATTTGAGTTTGAGTTTTGATTAAGCAGTTTAATTGATGATCCACTTTAGGTAATACAGTTACCTTTGATATTAATCGGAAAGTATTTTCATTCGGATTAGATGGAGAAAAAATCACTTATGTACGGTTACTTTGATATCAATTAGAAAAAAAATTTTCATTCGAATTAAACAGAAAAAATCCATTTTGTAACATTGAATGTGTTCCTATTGGATCTGATCAAATTCACTGATAAAATTTGTGATATACCTTGATCATGACATTTTAGTGGTTCTTCACTGTAAAAGGCTTCCAAATTCATTCATAGTTTGAATAAAGATAAGAATATCTTTCAAAATAATAAAACAAAGAGTATTTTGCATAAGCAAGAATTCTTAAAACAAAATTATTGGTTAGAAATTGTGACAATTTCCAAAATAAAAAGAAACTGATATCTATTTATTTAGCTTCATATTTTTTTTTGAAAACCAGTTGAAATGTTATTTGAGTGACTGACATCTGTTCTAAGAGGTTCAGATTCCATGCTCAAAAGTTGTGCACTGAGAATCTTTTTTCTATCCACTTTCCTATTGTAATTATTATTATTTTTCTAAAATAGTGAGAACTCTATCTATATACCCTCAATGGTGGTTTCTAAAATAAATTTTCATAAAAATATAAAATATAACAGATTATTACGTTTAGGTATTTCAAAATGATGAGCAATTCAGCCCAAAACATTTCTAACCAAATAATGGGCCTTGGGCCTTAAAATAAACAAATCCTTAAGATACACCTGGCCCATATTTATCAAGCGTCTCACAACCACGCGCTCTTCTTCTTCTCCTTCTCCATCATGACTTCTTCAACGCTCAAGCAAATCCGATTAATCTCTTCCTCCATTTCCGCCATCTCTCTCCTCACTAATCTCAAATCCTCTCTACACTCATCTCACCCTGATCTCACCAATGGATTAATCAAAAAAAAAAAACACAAACTTGTTTCAAAGCTTAGACCTTTCCTAATAAAGTTCATCCCTTTACCACTCAAGATCCCTCCTTTCTTCACTATCTCCTCAAATCCTCTAATGGGTAACCCTAAAGTCCCTCTCTTTCCCGACGAGGTCATCCTCCAGATTCTCGCTAGGTTACCCGTTAAATCCCTCTTCAAATTCAAATCCGTATGCAAAGCTTGGTGCTTATTACCATCCGACAGCTATTTCATCACTTTATTCAATCAACTCTCTGTAAAAGACCAAACCCTTGTCGCGGAGGTCTCAGACACGTCAAGTTTAATCTGTGTCGATAACGTTAAAGGTGTGTCTGAATTCTCTTTGGAGTTTCTTAGAGACAGGGTTAGGATCAGAGCTTCTTGTAATGGATTATTATGTTGCGCTAGTGTGCCTGAGAAGGGTGTTTATTACGTTTGTAACCCTTCGACTAGAGAGTTTAGGATTTTGCCTAGGAGTAGAGAGAGGCCTGTGACAAGGTTTTATCCGGACGGTGAGGCGACTCTTGTTGGGTTAGCGTGTGATGCAAGTAAGAGAGGGTTTTATGTGGTGATGGCTGGTTACCATAGGTCGTTTGGTCATAGACCTGATGGGAGTTTTATTTGTTTGGTGTTTGATTCGGAGAGTAATAAGTGGAGGAAGTTTGTTTCGGCGTTGGAGGATTGTTTTAGTTTTAGTCATATGAGTAAGAACCAAGTTGTGTTTGTTGAAAAGAAGCTTCATTGGTTGATGAGTGGTTTGTGTTATGTCCTTGCGCTTGATGTTGAGCATGATGTTTGGAGTAAGGTTTCTTTGCCTGATGAGATTAGATGTGGTGGTGGTGGGGGGAATAGGGTTTATTTGTTGGAGTTGGATGGGTTTTTGTCTGTGATTCAGTTGTCAGATGTGTGGATGAAGATTTGGAAGATGAGAGATTATGAGAGTGAGAATTGGTGTGTTGTGGATAGTATAAGTTTGAGGTGTATTAAAGGATTGGTACCTGGAATTTTTCCGATTTGTCAGAGTGGTGAGTATGTGTTCTTGGCTACTCATAAACAGGTTCTTGTGTATCAGAGAAGGAGTAAGTTGTGGAAAGAGATGTTTTCTGTAAAAGGAAGCTATTCTCTGCCTTTGTGGTTCTCAGCTCACGCCTTTCGCAGCACCATAGTACCTTGTGATTAAGCTCTATAGATAATAGATGTATGTTTGTGTTTGCATTTTCTACGTTTTTCTTTTGTTTATTTTCTTGGATCTTGTAGGGTTTGTGAAAGTTGGTTCTAAAATTTGAAATCATTTAGTAGAAACCAATATTCTAGAAATTGGGTATAGGCATAGGCTGTAAATCGGTTATAAACAATACAAAATGATGTTTCTTAAACAATTTTTGTAGAAAATTAGTCTAGGCACCGATGCTTAGTTTCTAATCCATACTCCTTTTGTTTTGTTTCATTTTAGTTGATGTGTTTTTTTATTTAGATTAACAAAATACAAATTTTATATTATTTATTTTGGTTACATAAAATATTATTAAATAAAACTAATTTAACCAATAAAACATTTCTTAATTTTTACCTAACAAACAAACTTCAATTATTTTAAAACAATATTTTTTCTTTAAACTCCAATTATTATGAAATAGGAGTATAAAACATCTATTTAACAGCTAATAGTTTCGTTAATCTCATATAATATATCTATTTACTGGCCAATGATATTCTACAAATTTTGTAGCAAACAAGTCTTGGTACCTGCATTTAGATTCGGATCTTATATAAGGCATCTATTTATCGGTTAATTTTTTTTTTTTAGTTTAACAAAAAATTCATATAAAGTATCTTTACTGGCTAACGAATTTTATATGTTGTATATGTACAATGTTTAACAGAAGAAATTGATTATTAAGTAAATACAAAAACATATGAAATAAATAGATATATACATCTTAATTCGTCTGTTTTCATTTAGTATAAATAAATTTTGGTGTTGTTTAATTTTGGTTGAACCTTCTTTGGCTTCTCCTTGAGATCATGATCAGCTTGAACGTCTTCAAACAGGGACAAGGGCAACGACTTGGACAATAAAGCAACATGTGTCTTGAAAGTTATCAAACCAGAAGACCGGTTTACAAGAATCTCACCAAGAGAGATCCACACCATGAACTCTTTGGCCTTAACACCAGTGAGTTTCTTGATCTTGTTAGGCTCCAAATAAGCAGTGACTTCATCTTCGAAACATACCACAACGTTATCGAATCTAAACAAGTCTTGATACCTCTTTTTCTCGTCTTTCTTCTTGTGCTTTAGCCACACGAAACCTGTATCCTTCACGTAACCACATTCTTCAATCTCCTGGTTACTAAGGAGCCGGTTTGGTAAACCGATTTGGGACAGAAGTGAAGTAAATTTATCTCTGCATGTCTTGTCTCCATGGTAGACCTCTGCCTTGGCTTTCATGGCTTCTGTCACGACCATATGAATCAAAGTCTCTTTGTGTTTGGATAAGAGTTAAGAATGTTTTTGAGGCAATGAGATTTTCAAAGTTGTCTTTAGGTACGTTTAATACGTTTTTAAATGTTGTGCACGTTGTGTTCAAAAAAAAAAAAAAAAAAAAAAAAAAATGTTGTGCACGTTTGGGATTTAGGAATATACGTTTTCAAGTGGATCTTTCTCTCGTGTCTTTTTCCTTGCAGATTGATACTCCGTTTATTTTTGGTCTTTTTCATCTATTCATAAATGTATATACCAAAAGGATATACTTTTCTTTTGTTAACCCATGGTTTTGTAGTTAGGCTCAATTGCACGTAAGTGAGTTCCAATATTTATATTCAATATAAGAAGCCGTATATCACCCTCAGATTAGTCATGAGTATTATTATTGTGAATCGCTAAGTAATGTAATCTTCTTTTTGTTCTTAAAGTAATGTGATCTATAGTTAAAGTTAAACTATATATTACGTAATTTACGTTTGCTTTGAATAATATAAGCTTTTCAAGCTTCAAACTGACCGTATGTTGTTCTATCACTCATTGTGATGTGCATCATCATCATTATGGTTTTGGTTTGGGGATATTTTTTTTTTGGTTTTCTAATTTTTTTTTGTTTTCAAAATGGTTCAGTCATTTATAAAATTTGTTTTGATTTCGGTTTGGTTATTTCATTTCCGGTTCTGGTAATAAGTTGGAAACCGACTAATATTCGAATTTTTTTTGGGTTCAATTCAATTCCAGTTCGGTTACAATTTTCAGGTAATTTTTGATACTAAAAAAAAAATATTGGATAATTTAGATAGTTTTAAATATTTTGTCTTAAAAATATCTAAATAATTTAGGTTTTCAGGTAATTTAGTTTATAAATAGTACTTTTAGGATATTTGTTTATTTAAAAATAAACATAATTGATATTTATATAATCTTTGTTTTAAAAGTTCGGCTATCCATTTGATTACTGATTCAATTTTGGTTCAATTTTGTTTTTTTTTTCGGTTATAGTGATATAAATTAATGTTGATATTTATGAAATTTAGTTTGATTTCGATTTAGTTCGATTCTTTGGTTTCTGTAAATCTGTCCAAAACCTAATAATCACTCAATAATTTCAAAAATAAGAACCTAAACCGGATTTGAAACCGAACCAAATTTCATTAAAAAAAACTGCTCTTCCTAATTTTATGTTTTAGAATTTAGCGGTACTAAATTTTTAATATGTACTTGATTATAAATATTGGAACTCACTTACGTGATCGCTTCAGTCTAATTGCGATTCAATCACTTTACCAAAGTCTGGTCAGATAGGCGATGCTGGTCCATCCTGATAAGAATATGGGGAATGAGAGAGCAGCTGAAGCTTTTAAGAAACTTCAGAACGCTTATGAGGTAAGGTAATGATTCTTATATCAAATTTGCATCAAGGTTTCCTCCATCTCTGATCTCTCCATAGCTGGCCCTCTAGGTATTGCTTGATTCTGTACAAAGGAAATGATATGACGATGAAATAAAGAAGGAAGAGCTGGTTAACAACTTTACAAGGTTTCAGAACTCTTCTAAGAAGGTATGTTTATATTATTCCACATCATCAAGAACCAGGAACATAGTTTTGGAAGCTCAGAAGGTGAAGGAGAGGAAGCTTTAAGAGAGTGTAAACAAATAGCTTGTAAAAAAATGTGGAAATCTCCATGTCTGGTTTCTAACAAACAAATCAAAATCTAGATGGTGCCAGGTTTTTTTCTTCTTCAACTCTTCATCTGCATCTTAGAGTTACTAATATATATTTACTCAACCCATTTACGCTGCTAGCTCCTCTTTTGTATCTAAAGGATTGCAAAGACTATATCATCCAGCAAAAGATGGAGATGGTTGGATTGAACAGTCTTCACAACATGTCTTGTTTGGGTTCTTTCAAAAGGTACTATCAGATGATGACTAGATTGATATATGGTTTTCAAATAGTCATGTTAAAAGACTATTACATGATGAAAATTTTCAGTCTGTATGTATTACTTTTGATCACATCAATTGTGAAACCTTTTGATTGAGTAGTTCAATTATTTGAATTTCTCCTTCTAAAGTTTGTTCTGAGTCAAGTTCTCCATGGCTTTAAGTAAACAAAATAGGTATATGTACCAAAGCTAATTTTCCTAGCCAAGTAACAAAAAGTAGGACAATGCAAGTTCACTCAAGTTGTCTCAAAATTACTGAATCATAACGGTTCTAATGTATAACAAAATGAACCTCTCAGCATCTATTTGGAGTCATTAAACAAATCCATCCTCAAGAGTTGCATCACCTGCGCAAAAACCGAGAGAGTCAGAGACTTAAACAGACATTTTTTGGTTATAAACATTAAAAAAACTGATGAAAGAGAGCTCAAAGTGAAACCTTTTCGAGTATCTGCTGCTTTCCCCACGACACAATAAGTTGATATAAGCTTCCCTATACAAGAAGATATAAAGATAAGCTGAGCAGGAAACACACACACACACACACACACACACACACACACACAGATTGTCTCAAGCAGTGAAAAAAGAAGACATCATATATACCTGCTCATGTTGAAGTCTATTGCAGAGCTCTCACTAGCCATCATTTTGGTAAGATATCTAGAGTGAAATTCTGATTCAAGTCCATGATATTTGAGTGAAGCCCAATTCTAAAGAAAGAAGAAAAAAACAAATCAGTATATAAATTTACAAACCCAAATCAAAAACAAAAGAAAACCATTTGTCTTACTTCTTCAGGTACTGGTTTATGATCTTTCAAAGCTTGTACTCCCTTGTTCTGTCATGAATGAAATAGATACACTTAAGATGAGAATCATGTATAAATGTTGGCATAAGTAACCAAATTACACATGACCCTCGTACCTGCTTTTTTGATGTTCTGGCAGATTCTTCAGTAGTTTCTGAAGCTTGTTTTCTTTTGGATGAATGATACTTCATAGAAGGTCGTAGCTGAGGAACAGCATGAACAGGATTCAAGTGTAACTGCGAGACAACAACAAGTCCAATCTTACAAGATATCATCTACACTAGACAATAATGTTATCAATCTTCACAAAAAATAAAAAGAGAAAGACAATAAATACCTTATCACCTGAAAGAACACCAATAGCATAGTCCAACGTAGAAAGCGGTTTCCATGTTGTTGTTAAGGTCTACCAAAAATACAATAAGAATGAATGTTGCATGCAGAACCGGATAGAGAATTTCAGATTAATTACTAAACACTTGTTTAAGAACTTTATAATAAATAAATAAAAATCATAATTTGGGAGCCTGTTCCTAAATAAAACCCTCTCAAAAAATTTTAGGGTCAATTCTAATATTTGGAAGTAGAGAATCTAACCTGCTTAGTCATATGTAATTCACTTGCAACTTTTGAGTCATAGTTACTTGAATGTACATTCATAGACAAATCAACTTCCACCTCGGAGGTAGAAGGGTTCACTCTAACCTTAAAAAGACACAAAATAAAACAAAAGATAAATTAGATGACAACTAAAAGATAGATAGCAAACATAAACACAAAAGGGAACACTCACTTCTTCACATCGTTCATCCATTTCATATGCACGCCAAGACGGTCTTAAAGGATATTGTAGAACATAAAGCTAGAAAACCAAAACACTAGCTATTAGCAAAATCATAATCCAGTTGAAGGTAATAATCTCTAAGCTAAAATAAATAAATAATAATAATAATCTCTAAGCTAACCTTAGTGTTGGCATCAATAGATGGATTAAAAGAACACGTCAATTTCACGAACAACAACATCTTCTTCTTCCTTTTCTTGCAGTGGAAGCTGATCTTTCTCCATCAACTTCTTCTTCTTGGTGACAGACTCGGAAGGAGCATCAGTTTGTGAGGGAGGCACTGGAGTTGGTTCAGGTTTAAACTTTCCGACACGACCAGGTGCAAACCTGCGTGTTTTGGAAACATGTTTATTTGGTTTGTCTTCATCAAAATCCATTAGTTTCTTTTTTTTTTTTTCCCTGTTGACAATGCAAGACAGAACATAAGGTTGCAGACAAACCCTAAAACGTGGATCACAAGATTCTCATGAGCTCGAGAAAGATTCAAACTGCGTATAAAAGTAAGATCAAGTAGTACCGGCGATCGGTGACGGCAAGTGTGCAAAAATTACGCAATGCGGAAGGCTCGAACCTGAGACGAGAGAGAAAGCGGCAGCAGAGAATGTAACCAACCGAGCTATCGGCTTTATTAGGGTTTCATTGGAAAACTAAATATATAAAAACTGTTTTGTAGCGGTGGTCATATAAATCCATCTATATGGGCCAAATTCAGATTACAAAGGAGCCCATATCTAAACCACACATGCAAATTTTAAAATGCCCAAAAAAAAGATTGACTGAGCATATGGATTGGTGGCTGGGAAAGAAAAGAAAACGGTACGAGTTTATCTATGATTTCAGTACTTCATTATTCTACATGTATGTCAATAAACTGATCATTCTCTTTATAGGTTTCAGGAAACCATCCACTATGTCATCTAAGTAGATTGAGTAATAAATTTCAAATTTATTAAGGGTCCAATTGGTTTGGACTCTCAAGGCTGATACTTTAACAAAAAGTGACTTTTAAAATTTTAAGGCTTTTATAATATAAAAAGGAATTGTAAAAAATAGTCTAAAGCCACAAAGTGCTGGCTTTAAAAAAAATCCTAACCTAACAAGTGAAAACAATAAAAAGTGGACTGTGAGATTATCGAAGATTTTGAGGACTTTTAAAAATTTTAATTGTGATTGGTAAAAATTAAACTTTTGAACACTTTAGAAAAAAAGTGAAAGCTTCTAAAGCCTATTACCAATCGGTCTCTAAATCTCACTACATGATTCTTGACTTTTGATTAGTGGATACATGTTATATAAGGCAACCAAAATTTGGCTGCAGTGAGTAACATTTATTAAACCCCAATCATACAAAACAATTAGAATTTAAATGATGTTATATGATAACTAAATGATTGTGACCAAACCCACTTCGAATTCTTCCTCTTGTACACCACGAGTTCGTACATGTATTTATGTTCAGTATGGTATTAACTAACCGTACTGAACCAAACCGGAAAAAGATATGATTTAGATTTGGTATATACCATATAAATCGAATGGATATAATTTTATAAAAATCGTAGGATTTGGATATAGTTAGGTTTATAACCGAATAAATAAAAAAAATCAATCAAAGTAAACACACACATACACACATATATATATATATACATAATAATTGATTTTTTATATGAGTTAATTTTTTGTTATTAATTAATACCATATACTCTTACATTAAAGAAGTCTGAATTTAAATAACACTTAAACAATTAAAACAAAATTACTTACCACAACTGAATGTTATTAACTTCTTATTATATTGAAATAAACTTTTACTTTTACTTTTTTTTTCATTTTACCATTGAATTTGTATGTCTTAATAATTTTATTTTATTTTTCTTCAAGTACTGTTTAGATTAAATTTGATTTTGTATACTTTAAGAAATTTTGAAATTAGATGGTAGTATGAAATTTCATTGGAAGAGTAAATAATACAAGAAAAGCTATAAAAACTGAGTCATTGATTAGTTTTTGACATTCTATTATTTATAACGTCCAAGATTTTTTAAGAAAAGATAGTTTCGATATCATACATCTTTAAAAATCATATAATATGCAACCAAATCAAATAATAATATTTTTGGTATAACATCGAATAAACCAAAAATTGGTAGTATAAAAACCAAATCAAACCATTTTAGATACAGTTCTAGTGTGATAGTTAATTTTTATAAACTGAAATACTGAAAAACCAAACCAAAACTAGACCGAAATCCAGATTTAAACGGGTTTACATGTATTGCATACACAGTATACATACGTATATACAATTGACCCGTACGTTTTCCATAGTTTATACAAAGAATACTATTTTAACTCTTTCATTCTAAATTTTTGTACAATTGAGTTAACAAAGTGAATTTACGGAAAATTATTTATTAGAAATAGAAATGATAACATGTTTACCCTGTGATTAGCTGAAAACTACTTTTGCATGATGCAATTTAAAATAAAATTTGGTATCGTCAGCATTTCACATCTAATTTGCCACGTATGGTCCTCTCTTTTTCCAGCTTAAAAAATGATACGTGAAATGCTGGAAAAGTTAGTACAATACAATACGTCTATTTTTTTCTCTAAAAGTCGTAACGATCACTTCACTTGATGAAATGTTTGAGAAAGTTAGTTCAAATTTTATAATTAATTTATCATCCATCTCGTTCAGCTATTTTACAGTAAACATTTAATTAAGATCCTAACATAACCGACGTTATGCAGTAAAAGTAGACTAATATATATATACGTATAAACATTACATGTATATGTGTGCGAGTTTACGTACGGGATGGTGCGATTTAAGAAATACATTAATTAGTATATTAACTCTCCATAATATGCAAAGCATGCATTGTTTTGATACTTAGTTGGTGATGGAGTACGTAGGGTTGATTAAAAAGACAGTCCATTATGGACATTACTAACTCTATGCTTTTTGCATTTACTTTTATATTTAATATCAGCCATACATCAGTTGCGTAGCTATCGGCTTCCTGAAAAAGACCTAAAGCATATATGCATCCATATATAGGTCCATGTATCAACTTTATGATTGACATATATATACCAGTGTGTGTGTGGGTTTAGGTTTGTGTTTATTAATTAATGTCAAAGGGTCACTTACATAAAACGGATATAATAAAGTATAAATAAATTTCTATAATTCTTTTAATACATTACTATAATTACATACAATAACAATTCAGTTCTTTTTTATATTATAAGTAAATATGTATTAAAACTTATGCTATATATAATACAGTTTATGTTAAATCAATGCATCAGTGATGTTGCTTTTCCTTTTCAAAAAAAAAAAGTGATGTTGCTTACGTTAAAATATGCATTTGGTCAGAGAAAGGTGAAATAAATCAATGATATTGCTTTTGTTAAAATATGGTCCACATATATGGATGGCCATATCAAAAAACAATGGTGGGTCAAGTACGCATGTCGCAAACTGCGTGCTTATTTATTAATCCTAAAAGTCTTTCTGAATATTGTTTGTGATGATTGACAACTACCATAAAAGTCTCACGAAGAAAACTCTAAGGCTTTGACTGAAATTCATTTTTAGAGTGAATGTTTTAGCTGAAAAATTAGCTATTCTACTCTAAAAATTTATCGATGAAGTGAAAACATTTTCTTCTCATTTCCCTCCAATTATTGTAGAAATCGAAAATATGCACACACATGATTTCTGTAGATTTTTCACGAGTAAATTCATTTATTCCACTTTCGTCTTTCTTCTCTTTTTACATTTTCACTACTTCACTCTTTTTTTCCCTCTCATTAGAGCATCATCGCTTAGAACACTCTTAGGATTTTTATTTTTCATTTTTTTTTTTTTTTTTTTTTTTATTTTTTT